TAAGTACTGATCAGTGATGACTGAGTATTTCATAAGCTTAATTATTTCAGTCTAACACTGTTTCTGAAGGTCAGTACTCCTTTGTTGTCATCTTCATCATTGTTATTTTTCACATGTAAATCCAACCGTACCTGAAAGTTTCTCAATACACATTTGATTCCAGGCCACTGATTCAGTTCTGATCGGCAGTGATCCAGACAAGTAGTCACTGGTACTTGGAAGCAGTTTAGTGGCCTAAATTCAAATTACTAGCAGGATCAAATGTATTCACCACCATTGCACACATCACTCATTTTTATTAATACATTTTTCTTGACCTCTGATGAAACTGCCAAGCAAATGGAAATAGGACGGAGTTGCCCTTTCAGTCTCTCACTATAGATCAGGAATTTCAGCTGACTTCATCTTGGCTATGTGTGGCGTATGTTTACCTCCAAAGACTCTCATGCAGCCATCTTTGCACTGCTTGATGCTGGGGATTTGCTCTTTATACTACTATGCGGGAAGGAAGAAAGACACACTTTGTATGTCTAAACTTCAAATTGTTGGCTATGATCTTGGATTACATGTAGGGTCTCTGCCAACATCTCCACAGCAATTGGCACATTTAAGAGACTAATTCAAGCACAGACTCCCACGTGTCCTTTGCTAGATGCAGCAAAGGAGGGGACCACCAGGGTGCTATTTTTGCCTCTATGATTTTGCACTTGCCTGACCATAGAGTGAGTTACAGCTACCTAATCAATACTGCACCTTACCCCAATGGAATAAGTCCCAAGGGATTTTGTATCAGTAGAGGAGTATAGGAGGAAGGTCCAATAGTTTTAAAGTAACATGGAGTTCTGGCCCAATAGCTTTAAAGTAGCAAGGAGTTTCACTTCAGCACTTTCCATTAGCGGAAATCATAGCCAGAACCTGGACGTTGCTCAGACGATATACTTTGGACTCTTTGCATCAGTCCGGCACTAATTGTACGTTGAATATTTCCCTTACGAACCTTGGCAATTATCTGTCCCCCATTTATTTTTAGCTATGATTATCTGGGATGTCTGGGTCATTTCAAACCTTTCATGGTGTTAACCTTTTGTAAAACTCTTCTTTTACAAATGTCTTAGTCTGCGATGCCAAGCAGGAAAGAACAGTATAAAATGAAATAGCTCACCATCTGTGAGTAATTGATAGGATTTATACTCTTCCATGAAAAGAAATATGAAGCATATGGTTTGAAGAGAAAGCTTTGGGTTTAGCAATAAAGCTCTTCTGGGTACCAATGAAAGTCAAAGGGTAAAATCTCTGTATCTTGTGCCCATGTCTTCCGATTTCTAAAGTATTTATCTGGCTTCCGCGTTTCCAATAGAATATTTCTTTTCATATTTTCAAACCTCTCTCAAAACTTCCATGGGTCTTTAAGCTAAAAAAGCAAGTATCCTTTAGGAAGCAAATGCCTTTCTACTCTTCTATTCCATGCAACTCATTTTTCAGAAAAGAGAATCCCATATTGAACTGCTCATTTTCAGGATTCGATCAACCTCTCTTCTCCAGGCTCTTGCCTTCCAGCCCAGCTCCCTTTACCTTGTCAGAAGTTCCACATACTTTTTGCTGACTGCATGCTACTTTATCTCTTTATCTCCTTTATCCATGGTATCTTGACTGCTGCTTGTTAATGCTGGGAACAGAACCCCAGCCAATGCATGCTAAGCCATAAACCTTTTACAAAATATCTTTAATTCTGCACCTATTATTCCACAAAGCATATAAGGGGTAACACTCACAGGCAATTCTATCTGTTGAAATCCTCATTTGAGATCTACTTATGACAGACACTATATAAAGAGCTAGGTATTAGGGTTAGGGGGAGAAGTCTTTTAATACCCCTCCCAGTGTGTTAAAAGAAACCCTCAGGAGATTCAGGCAGAAGGGTGCCTAATTTCTGGGTCACAGTTTGGTTTAGCATCAACCTGCTCAGACTTGTCAGAAGTGGGGCAGTTCTAGGCATGAACAGATGTGTGAATTTAAGTTCCTGAGGAATTTCTCTCTCCTCTAATGGAAATCAAATTACTTACTGGACAGCATCACTGTATCAACTGTGAATTTGGTGACCCCCCCTGTTCCAGCCTGTAGTCTTGTGCTTGGAGGAAATTTGGTGACCCACCCTGTTCCAGCCTGTAGTCTTGTGCTTGGAGGATTCTACTAGTCTATGAAATCCATTTGGGCTGCAAGGGACCCCAGAGGATCATCGAATTCAGCCCCCCTCCCCATGGGCAGGAAGTCAGCAGGGATCATAGGATCCCAGCAATATAAGCATCCAAATGTGTCTTGAAGGCATTCAAAGTGGGTGCTTGAACAGCCTCCGGTGGCAGTCTATTCCAAACCTTGGGGGCTCGGACAGTAAAGAAGTTCTTCCTTATGTCCAGCCTGAATTGGTCGGGGCGGAGTTTGTGACCGTTCGACCTAGTCATCCCTTGGGGCGCTCTGGTGAACAGATGGGTCCTGCCGCAGAGCCAATTCCCCAGCCAGCGGATCGTGGTGAGGTCGAGGCCACAGTTAGTCAGTTTTGCCAAGAGGTGATTATGGGATACCAGATCGAAGGCTTTTTTAAAGTCAAGATATATGACATCAGTCTCTTCCCCCTTGTTTCAGGGAAGAAGCTGGAGGAAGGAATTAAACCTCCTTGGCAGAGTGCTCTGATCACTTAGCTGTGACATAAGCAGCCATTGTTCTAATCCAGCGCCTGCACTGTGAAAGAAGGAACCCTTTTCAGTACTTTGAAAAAGAGGGTATAGGTACCTACTTCAGGTGATGGCCTAGAGTTATGGATCTTGAGTGGATAGAACCAACCCCATGTAGCCCTGATGAAGACACCTGAAGAGTAAGATTTAAGGTTTGTCCTATGCTTAGCATATACCTGTTGGCTGGCTCTATACAACTGCAGGCTAAGTGCGCTGACCTTAGACAGTTCCCTTAGTGGGAAGTTATCTGCACTATTTTGGATCCCATTTTGAGACATCTAACTTTCCCCATGCACTGCATAGGGAGCCACACACCCCAGCTAAGGCTCTTGATTCCACTTTACTGGATCTGGCTTTAGTTCTTGACCGCGTTTTGTGAGTTCTATGATTTTCTTATGTTCCAGTAGCTAGTTGGGACAACTGGACTCTAGTCCTGGCTCTGCCCATCTTTCATTACATGTCCTTATTAAGTTACTAAATTATATGTCTAAGTTAGAAATAACATCCTATCTTTGAGTCAATTACAGTAAATGCTTATGAATCCCTTATTCATTAGTCTTCAATATGTAGCAAAACAACAGTCTCTGTCTATTTCAGTACAACACACTGCTATTAGATCTTTAAAAACTCCTGTATTACTAGGGCTTTATTTTATAACATGCTGCTATACATTTACCTGAATCACGGAAGTAGAGATAATAGGGCTGGAACGAACTTCAAGTGTTCATCTTGTCTATCCCCTGCACTGAGGGAAGATCAATTCTAGCTAAACCATAGCTAACAGATGTTTGTGTAGCCTGTTCTTAACAGCTTCCAGTGATGGAGAGTCGACAAACTCCTTAGGTAATCTATTTTAGCATTTAACTCCCCTTACAATAAGACAGCGTATTACCTCATCTCCCAAGGGGCAATTTAAGTCTATTATTTTTTGTCCTATTCCTTGTGCACCTGGAGAGCAATGTACTGACTCCCTCTTTGTGGCAACCTTTATATATCTGAAGATTGGTTTTCTGTCCCCCTCAACCTTCTCTTTTCTACACTGACCAGTTCTATCTTAGTACCATTTTACTTGAATATAAGATGACCCTGAATACAATGACCCCCAAATAATTAGATGCTACACACAAAAAATGTACAAATTTGTTATAATTTTCCAAGTGTAGAATCTAAGTATTGGAGGGCTGTCCTGAATCCCTCTCCTGCACTGCTATAACAGGGAAAGCAACAGCTAGGGAAGGGGGGGGGGGTGTCAAGTGCCCCCCTTGCTCTCGACCCCACCCACTTCATCCCCCTGCAGCCTTCTTGCCCCCCTCTTCCTGCAGGTGCCATCTGCACCCCCACCCCCAGCTCCCTACAGCCTCTTCCCCTTCCCTCAAATTCATCCCAGTTTCTGGCTCTTTCCCCCAACTCTGCCTTTTCATCACCCCCACCCCTTACCATCAGACACTGCTCAGGCTGCTCTGCCAGGATCACAGCATAGTTCAGCTCTTGCCTGGTCATGCAGCAGTGCAGGGGAAGGAGTTCTGT